TGAGATTTAGGTGTGAAGAGGGAGAGGCCAACAGACCGTAGTGCCTACAAGGGACAGTAGGAGGGGAGTGGAGCTCCTCGGCTGCCAGGTGCTCTCAGGCTTATTGGCTGCACCTGGCCAGGGCTGTGTCCTGGTGTCCCTGCCATGTCTGGCAGGGGCATCTCAGCAGTGTGGCACTTCAGCAAGCCTGATGCCTGAGAGATGTCCAACCAGAGACCCTCGAAGAGGGAGTTTGGGCTGGAGCTGTCCTGGCATGGGGGGCTGAACTGAGGCTGCTGTGAGCATGAGGTGAGTTGTTGGAGCAGTTTGGAGAGTGAGTGGGAGGCGGGTTACAAATATGAGGGAAGAACTATGATGGATTTATCACAGCCTGAAATAAATTAACCTCTGGGAGGGAATGATTTTGTAATAATTTGCATTTAGATACTCTGACACATCCAAATAACCCCAAACCTTCTGCAAACATTGTAATTAATTCAATCTCCAACATCCTGTGAGAGGGATAGAAATAGCACTATTTACATGGTTAAAGGAGCCAAGGATTCTTCTCTCAGTATTGCATTTCACACCCCTGGGACTGCCCTTCTGTCTTGTTTTTGAGGCTATGGAGCCTCGTGGTGGGGTGCAATGCAGGAGCAGTGAACAGCTGGAAAGCTTTTCTGAACACAGTGAGCTGAGATCCTGCTGCTCTGGTGTGTTCCACCACACAGCCCATGTCAGGCAGGCCCAGGGCTGAGGGGAACCTGCATGGGCCAGGCCAGAGCATACAGGGGAAGAAGCAGGGAGCTTGAGCCCTGCCTCACCAACTTGTGGTAGTGGTGGCTGTAGGCAGGGCTATTCCCTCTGCAGGGACCCTGCCACAAAGCAGCCTGGCCCCATCCCCAAGTGGGAAGTGGTCAAGTGATTTAATATTCAGCACTCTCAAATGCAGTAATGAATTTGATAGCCCAAATGATCTGCTAACCCAGCCAGCTGAGAGGGTATCTGAAGGACAATCCAAGCCCGTAGCCAGGCAGTGTGATATTTTCTTGTCATCAGCCTCCTGCCTATTCCTTTCCAATCCAGGGCAGTTAATCATAAAGAAGGTATTTGTTTGATGCTGTTTTCATGCATGCTCTACCCTATTTCTGTTTCCAAGGAACCATGAAGTCAGTGGGTTACATCCCACCCCAGCTTCAGCAGCCTTTGCAGGAGAGCTGGTTTTTTCAGGGAGACCCAGGTTGAACCACACGTTGTGACTATCCAAAGCTTGGGCAAGTTAATAGTTTTTGGAAGGGAAATTGAACATCTCAAAGTGCATCTTCTTTTACTTACAAATGTGTCTTAAATCCAGAGTGCTTAGGGCAGCTGACGTTAGCAGAGCCATCGAGTGCACCTTGTGCACCTCTGTGTTCCACTGCCAGACCCGCTCAGTTGTGAGGTTGCAAGTCAAGGGCTGGGGAGAGATGGTTGGTTTTCAGTTACAGACCCGTGGGATGGTGTAAATCTCTTTGGGCCTGACACAGAGTTGGCCTGAGTTGCTGGGAGTGTATCCATTATCTGCAAGGAGATTTCAGCAACCATTTCTTTGCTGTCAGTTTGGCTTCTGCTGTGCCCTCTTGCTTTCTGTAAAGCTCTTCCAGGGGCTGGGAGCATGAGCTTTCCAGCAAGTGGTGAACAACAGGCCAGCTGTATACAGGCAGAATTTCTGTGACACAGCAGCAGAGAGAGAACACACACTGTATCAGAGATTTACTCATAAAACACCTCTGACTCTTCATAGGTATCTGCACAGAGTCTCCTTCCAAGGGAACCCAGAGATATTTATAGCGCAGCTTCAGCAATGGTCTAATGGCAAGTTGGCAAACAAAAGAACTTTGAAATATAAGGAGGAAAAAAAATGGTCTGTAGTGCGTTTATTTTGGAGTCAATAGAAAAAGGTTAAATAATAATAGTGAACGTTTCCAGCATGGGTCAGGTTAAAAAACAGAGAAAGCAAAGCATGTTCACAGTGCTGTAGGACTTTCTGTGTGCGCAGAGTGTGAATTACAGAGACAAATAATAAAAACTTTGCTTCCTGCTGAGATAGTGCAGTGGTGCTGAGTACCACACCAACACCTGCTGAGTACCTTACAAACACCTGCAGAAAGTGAAGATAAATTCTACTTCAAAAGGGACTGAAACTGCTCTGAGCAGTTGAAAAAAATCTATATTCAATTCACAGAGTTGTGCAAAATTAAGCAATTTTAGCTACAGATATGACTTTTCCCTTGCTTTCTGCCCTTTTTTCCCCTGCCCCTCTCCCCTCAGTCCTGCAGTGCTGGCTGGCTGATGGTGACTCGAGGCTCTACTCACACAGCAAGGTGTTGGGCTGGTGCCATCCTGCTGAAACACGCTCTGCCTTGTCTGGGGTGTGAGCGTGGGTGTTCTGTCTGGGCATGTCACATTTTAATTAACGCCTCACACTGCTGCTGCTCCTCAGTGTCTGTCAGGGAGCTCAGGCACAGCACAGGGCTCTTCCTCCCTGTCCTCTCCTCCTTGGGGCAATACCCCCACACTTCCCACCTTCCTGGTTTCTAAAGCCTGTGCGGGGAACGCGCCTGACAGGCAGCTTTGATGAATGTGTCGGTGTCTCCTTTGTGAGGAGGTTCATATTTGCTCTCCCAGTTTCAGGCAGGAGACCTGCTGGCTGCAGGCCAGGAGATGGGAGATTCTCCAGGTTCCCGCTGCTTTGTTTCAGTTTCCCAAAAGAGGGTATATGTTAAGGGCTGTCTGAGGCGTCAGCCCTGGTGGCTAATGGCGCACAGAGGAATGGTAGGGGTGCTCACACCCTTGGGTTCTGTCGATAGCAAGGGACCTCAACAGCAAAATTCACCAGTGACTGAGGTGGTAAAGGCACTTTTGGGAGCCATTGGGATCTCTTGGGATCCATTTACTTGTTTTCCTTGGCTTTTCGAAGAGGCCAGGCGCTGGAAAGGCCTCTCTCTCTCCTGAGGGCACTGAGGGCCTCATGGAACGGGGGCATCCCACAGTAAAACTGCTGTCCACAAAACTCCTGTCCTTGCCAGAAATCCTGTGGCAGCAGAAATTGGATGGAAAAGGCTGTACAAGAAGAAAGTTTTTAATTTGCTGTGACAGGAATCAAAGGCTTGTCTTGTCAAAAAATTACAGCTCCCTTTTCCTGCCTGTCTGTCACACGTCAGCGGCCCTCACGCTGCAGAGATAAACGCAGCTTCACAGAAAGGAGCCCAGGGAGTGATTCAGAACAATCTAGTTCGTGAGGGAAGGAGAGGCTTAGGCAAGCACCAGAACTGAACTTGCATTTGGTATGGCAGGCGTCGAGCCACATGATGTTTATATTTGACTCTTTTATTTGAGTTTTTATACTGAAGCAAGTTGCTGCTTTTACTGTTGCTCTAGTGGTGTGGTGCCTGGGCACCTGTGGGGACAGGGAGTGAGGCCCATGGGAGATGGCAGCCCATGGAACACACTGCCCCCCTGACACTCTTTTCAGCTGGAAGCACAACACAAGGCTGATGATGGCAGCTATTCTCCTGAAAAGCTGGTGAGCAGCAATTCCCATCACATTAGACAGGAAGTCTGCTCTGGCAGTGCAGATGCCCACAATAACCCCTTTTCCAAGGGTAGGCTCACCCCATGCCCTACAGATGTTGCTCCAGGGCTTGTCTGTGATGAGGGATCCAAGGGCCAGCAAAATGCAAACTCATCCTGAATGGCTTCTGCCTAAAATACATCAACTACAGACCATTCCTGTCAAAATTGATCCTAGGCTGCTGATGACATGGCTTTCACAAGGGTGGGACACATGCCCAGTTTCAGAGACCCTTTACCATCCATTTACATGGGAAATAGCTAAGGGCTTTAATGGGAAACTGTTCAGCATCTGAAGCTGTTCAGACACATAAGATAAAACATGATTTGAAAGATATTTAGGCTCAGCTATGACGTTAAGACAGCAGTCTTGTAAAAGTGCCAGCAAAATCACTGGCAATACCAATCAAATTATATTAAGCATGGTAACTACTTGGTAATTGGTTTATCTCAATGCATGCTTGGAACAAGGGGATTTTTTTCTTAAAAAAAAAAAGTTTGATTTCATTCAAGTGAATTATTGTTGCTGGTTAAGGAGAAATGTAGGATGTGCTTGCAAGTGGATGTGTCTTTGTAAGGACTCATAAGAATTTTAGCAATTATTTTTACAATGTTACTGACTCTACCTATGCCATTGCTTGCTTCTCCACAGTAAAGAAATTGCAGAGGGCAGGAGGAGCTCCATATTGGGGAATTTTTCAATTTGGCTGCCGAGTCCTCTTACCTTTTCTGTCCTTCCCTATAACAAAGGATATATTCAAACAGTGATTGTCATAGCAACCTTTTTGGGGTGGTCTCTCTCTATCTCTCTGTGGAAGATAAACTTTTCATTGAAAATTTCAATTTGTGTGGAGGGGAATTAGTCACCCAAATTCCTGGCATTCAGCATGTCTCTGTCTCTTGAAAATTCTCATTAGTCTCATCTCTCTGCTTATGAAAATGCCTTCCCAGGATAGATTTGGGAGGGCAGGGAGCACTTTGGAGTTGTGGTGTTTTTTTTCTTGACAAAGCAGTTTCAAACAGGTGTTCTAATATACGTGTTAAATCTAATGGGGACAGCTAATATGTCATTTAATCAGACTTCCATGTTTTCTGGGGTTCTAGGTGGAGCTGGATTCTAGGATAGACTTTGAACAGGAGACACATTTCCCTTCTCCTTGCCCCATGTATGAATTTTCTCTCCTTTGCTTTCCTTCCTCACAGGCAGCAGTGAGAAAATTTGTGCCTGCATTGATACCAACCACTATATTAAAGCAGGATAACTCAAATAAGGGGGTAAATTAGACAAAAAATCCTGATGCAGATCCAGGTTACCAGGCAGCTGGGATATTTTTTAAGCTGAGATTCTCTGGGGTGAAATCCTTCCTGTTCCAGACTCGGCCATTAAACTGCATTTTCTCTCATTTTAGGGGAGCACCTGCGAATCTGCCCACAAGGCTATACCTGCTGCACCAGTGAGATGGAGGAGAACTTTGCAAACAAAAGCCGGAGTGAATTTGAAGCCATGATGAAAGAGGCTGGTCGCTCTGTGCAGGCAACACTCACAGCACAGCACAGGAGCTTTGACAGTAAGTAAAAACTGCTTGGTTCCCCCTGCTCAGGATCCAGTCACTGCTTAGTTTTCCAAGCGCTGTTCGAGTTAGGCGTTCATGTTTGACGAGCTTTTCTTTGCGTCTTGCTCAACAGTTTGCGTGAAGTGTTGACCTTCAATAGGAGTTGTACCTCTTGGCAGTGTTGTTTTTTTTTTGTAAGACCAGGCCATTTTGAGAACTCCATTTCAGAGCAGCCACTGAAGGAGGCTGGCAGGCCAAGGTGTACCTTGGCACCGACACAGCTTTTACAAGCACAGTGTGATCGGGTCGTACAACAACAGTGTAACATTTGAGGCAGTGATGTAAAACCTGGCACTGTACCCTGAGCTGTAAGTTGGACAATATGGTGAAGGTGTCTGGATAGCTCTCAGTAGGTCGGGAGAGTTTAAGGAAACATGGCTTTTTCCTGTCTTTTCTGTGTGGATTGCAAATGAAAAGGAGGTTAGTTCACATTAGGTGCTTATCGCTGTCAGCTTCATACAATCAGGCAATGTTGTAGAGCAGGGAAGGTCTTGGAGACTGTGTTGCATACGATGTTGTGAACAAACATTCTCTCCAAAGTGTAGTATCCCTCCTAATGTGCTAAGCAAAGGCTAAGGATGGCTCTCCTATTGTTCCCTCAGGAATGCATTTTGCAGTGCACAGTAAGCCTCGAGGTCTGAAGGCCACTGGAAATAAATGGTTTACTGGCAAAATTGAGATGACCTATAATTCAGAAACGGTGTCCATTATCAGATTTTGAAGAAGGTCAGACATTTAGAATCATGGTTCTCCTAACTTTATCAACAGTCGTCACATGGAGTTATCGTGAAAAGAATAGGAGCTGGGAAAAGAAGCTGTAATAGCCAGAAAGGTGGAACTGGAAATTCAAGCAGTAAATAATAGATCTAAAGAAATAAGCCTGACCTTCAGGGAGCTGATAACCAAGATGAAGTGCTTTTACTCTAAATAGAAAGAAAAGGCAGTGCATCTCTGCAAAAGGCATTGTGACTGTGTGGCCAAGGTTGACCAGAGCAAAGGCATTCTTTTATAAGCTCAAAATTAATTGATTTTCACCCACCTTAAAAGGTGATAATCAGGATTTTTAAAAGAGACTTACAATGCTGATTGCTCAGACTGGTGTCTGAATGGGACCTGACGTAGCTGCTGCTGAGCTCACTGACTGACCTCTGGAAACCAGACCTTCACAGGGGTTAATGCAGAACATCCTCCAGCCTTGGCATCCTCTCCCTCCACCTATTGCAGCACTGGCTGGGATATCTGCTCTTTATTTTTGCCACTTTTGAGTCGTGTTTTACAAAATACGTGTGTAAGACACGCAATAGAACACAGTTCTACATCTGTCATGTAAGAGAGTGCAAAACTTGATGGAGCTTTAGGGATTATGTTGATGAGCAGAAATTGCCTAGTGAAGAACTGGTGTAGTTTGAGTGTGATGTTTTGGTGGATTAATAGTAATAACAGCAATAAGAACAATGCTAAGCAAAACCAGGGGGGATGCTTGTGTTGAGCTGCCAGTTAGAGCTGTAAGGGCATTCCTTTGTTTTCCTTCCCCAGCATTTTATGAAAACAGAGCTTTATTTCAGTGGTGCATACCCAAGTTTCTTTTAACAGTCAAACAAAGTAAGTGTTCAACAAGCCAAGTGTTATTTTAACAGACCATAATGCACAGATCATTGGTGTTTTGCAGCGGGAATAACCTCACTTGAGCCCACAAGGCCAGGAAGATGTGTCCTGCTCCTGTTATACCTTTTAGTTTGCCTAACTATCCTTGCAATCAGTATAGCGTTTATAATTTATGCAAGACATGATTAAAAAAATCATCTTATTGTGTCTCAGTTTCAAGCATGACTTTACCTGTAAGTAGAAGTACTATTTTTTCTTTAGCTACTGCATAAATGGTGTAGAATTGAGGGAGTTCTGGTGATAGGGCAATGGAATCACCTTAGCTCATTAAACAATGCCAAAGAAACCCTCCTAGCTTCCAGTAAATGTTATTAATCTCACAGTTAACAAGACTTTTTGCAGGTAATGCTGTTTAGAGCTGTTCAACCAAGGATTTTTTTATTGTCAGATTGATGATTTCTAGTCTTGCTGGCAGTGGATGCCTGGGTTTCCTGGATTTCCTTAGCAGCAGCTTAGAGTGCAGGTTTTGGGGTTGCAGAGGTATCGATGCACAGCTTGTCTTCACATCAGTGATTTTGTTTGGTCTTAAGAGGATGGGGTGAGGCTCCATTGGATGGGGATGTCCTACCCTTTCTCATAGTATTTGCAGCCTAGAGATTAGATTATTCATATCCTCTGTGCTAGCAGGTGTGGCACATTGAACTTTAGGCCTGGAGCTGTCTTATTTTTGGATTCATCACAGCAAATCTTGCTTCTGTAATCTCTCTGCTGATCATGGCAATAGTCTCTACTTGTAAATTGCCCTGAAGCTCCAGATAGAAAATAGCAAGACTACAGTAATCTGCTTCTGAAGTAACATTCTCCATTCAACATTTTGCTTTAGAGAATAATTCATCCTTGCAGGCTGTGGTCTGTAAAGCCCTAAATTGTCAGAGTGCCTCTGCTCTGAGCTACAGCTTTGTCCCACTGCAAGGAATTAGTCTGTTGTTTCAGTCTCACTGACTGTTTTGGGAGCAAACACTTTGTGGCCAAGAGAGGAGCGTCCTTTACCTCATACAAAGTATTTTTAGCAAAAATACGTGTGCGAAATACAGATGGCATGTGATAGGTATGGCCATCTATTCAAAAGGGAGATAAGTGGAATGGGATCCTGCAGGCTGAGTGCTCTCTCTGCACAGCAGAGGACACGTGCCTTCTGGGCTGCCCTTCCTCCAGGATCTGCCAGGGCTAAATTTAAAGTTTAACCTGCTACAGTATTGCTTAGCTGCTTACTAGTGTATTTGGGTTTTTGTTTCACATTACTGTAGTTAGCAGGATTTGGGGACATCCATTTTAAGCTACACATGTGGTGATCAGCTTGATCTTAACCTTTCAACTGCAAAGGTAGCATTTTGCTCTACAGCTGATTGGTTTTAATTTAAAAAAGAAAAGAAAGAACCAGAAGCAGAGACCATGAGTGATGGGAGCATATGCTTTTGATAAGTCAGTGCTAGGGAGGACGATTGAGGTCAGAGTAGTGGTATTTCATTAATAGCATTATAGGCACAAATTCTGTGTTAATTCTGATGTCTCAGGGCTCTTGGTCAGGCAGGGAGGGCAGTGTAGTTACCTGGGAGCACAGTCTGTAGCAGGGACCTGCTAGAGGCGTCTGGGTTGGTTTTGGTTGGCACTTATTTGCCTGGAAAATTGTACATACCCCATACTTTAAAAGAAAAGTGTGAAAAACAAAAATGAAAACAAGATTGGGAGTCTAGGAGGGAACTGGGAGACAGTCTCTGTTGAGACTGATACTAAATATTATTTTAAAGATGTTCCCAATGTTAATTGCAGGATGTGCTTCTTTTCAAACTGGTGTCAGGTCAGTGGACAGGAAATTTTTGGTATCTGTTATTGTGAAGTTAAACACTTTGACAAGGAGCTTTGTCCAAGGAATTGTTCAGGACATGGATGCAAGCTGCCTGTGCCCCCTCTGCCGGCTGCAGAACAGGCTCTAGCCAGAACAGGGCTTTGACTCTTCAATTGTGCTGAGAGCAGCTTATAAACATTGCACAGGTTTGGGGGAGATTCCTTGGCAAAATGAGGGTTTTTTGCACATCACACAGCTGCATGTCAGTGTTGCACAAAATCACAAGACTTTTGAACTCCTGCCCTTCCCCGTGAAACTTATACCTCCATAATCTATTGCAGAGATGAGCCTGGAAAAAAACTTGTGGACCGTGTGGGAGAGGCTGGAGAAGTGACTTGTGATGGCTGGTCAGAGCAGTCACATTCCGAGGCTGTACAGCCTGGGGTGGCAGCAGGGGCTGGGGCTGCACGGCTGGCAGAGAGAAATGGTGCTTGGAGTGACAGTGGGGGGCTGCAGGCAGCAAGGAACAAGGCTGTGTTTCTAATCTTGGTGAAAGCTCACTTGTTGAGTGTCTAATCCTTGTCTGTCTCTCTCTTTTCTCCCTTTTTCCTCACTTAAATAACTTTTTAATAATACTGCAGTGTTGTGCCAATCTTTCCTTTTGGTGCACTTAGCAAGCAGTCCCTGTGTGACTACTGACCTTTAGCTGAGAGCCAGGAAATCTGTCCTTTCAGAATTGTTTCATGTTTTCAGGAAATATCAACAAGCCAAACCAAAAACCTTGGCTTTTAGTCCACACTGCACAGTCTAAAAATGATTTGTAGCTCTCATAAATTCTGTGATTTTTAAGCTGTGGCAATTAAATGCAGATTAAAAATTATGTGTTTTATTTGCTCATTGGAAAGCTGATGTCATGTAAAAGCTTTCATAATGTCCAGTGTTGGTAGCTGGAAACTGCATATGCTGAAACACAGACCATGCAGATAATTAGCAGTGTTTGAGAGTTAGTTTCAGACAGTTACATGTTTCTTATGAAGATGAATCATTGTTTTAAATGTTACAAGGTAGGGAATGTCCCAGAAGCTGTTACACACTGATGGTTCAAATTTTAGAGATTTCTAAAGGTCCCTTGTTTAAAGTTCAACCAAATGTGTCTTTGTCAGAGGTTGCAGCTCCTAGAAGGACTGTTGTAGAGAGAGACATATATACATATTTTTATTTACATCCACATATACTGTGGATGCTTAAGGAAGCTGATCAGAAGGTTGTGGAGTAAGCCAGCAGGCAGACTACAAAATCCAGACCTGAATCTAAACCTTGCAGGTATTTCCTTAGTTGATGATAACATGAACCAAGCCCTGCTGACCTGCCGTTTTGAGGTGTCTGAATTTGGAGGCTCATGCACCAAAAGATGTGTTCTGAGAGATGTGGGACTTCACTGTGCACCAAATGATTGACAGAAGACCAAAGCATTGGTTATCTGGGCCACAGGGGCTGCAGTGCC